CGGACAGTGTTTGCGGTGAGACCACCGGCGAAGGGAGGCTACTGAAATTAAATAGTTCTTGCTACCTTACGACTTTACGAAGTACTTTAAAAGTGGATGGGGGACTATATTAAAATATGTTTCGAGTTTTGTACTACAGTTATTAGTACATTCATAGATGATTATTATGTTTACACTATCTGATTATAAGACAATTAAAAAATACTTCGTTGTAAAAGTGAGATGTCTTCCAGGCTTATTTTAATTTTTATTAAAATACGTATATTATTTATATATCTTTATTATACAATAATCTTTATTATATGTATTTTTTTAAGTTATTAACATATATAATAAATAAATACATACAAAATACATTACCAAGTACATAAAATACACAAATACTTAACTGTATAAATGTAATATATAATTATCTAATATTATTTTATACTAAACTTGTTTTTAAATAAATTATTTAAAAAAATGAAGTTGTTAAACCGCACATGTTTACGGTACTCCCGTGAACACTCTTTGATCTTTTCAATAGACTATTAAAATGTAAAAATTTGTAGTAATCCGATTTATGTAGAATGTTCTTATTACATTTTAATACTTTGAATCTCGCAATTGAATTTCATTTAAATATTTTTGTAATAATAAGAAATTTTGTATCGTGTGTTATTAAATTTACGGTATCATAATAATAAATAAAAAATATTTAAAAGAAGCTAATACCTCTGTCTACAATATAATATTCTAATGTAAAAAAATAACAGTTTCATAATTAATCGAAATAAAATAATTAAAAAAAAAAATAGGTTCATCTTTTACAAATTCTCTACGTTTGCAATGAAATTATGCATAATGAACTTAATTAATTTGAATGGAAATTTGCTAAAAAAGTCACTGTATGAAGATTTTTACGTCTACTAATACTGTTCAAGTTATACTCGTTATCAAAGTAAATGCAGCCAAAGATGCTGGTCAAATACTATTGTATTTTTTATATATAAACAATACAATACGAAAATTTAATCGATTCCGAAAAAGCCCAGACATTATGCATCTAAGATTGATGCACACCCACGTAATGTACTTTTATTGTAAAGGAAATCTAAATGGTGGAGCAATACGGTGACATTATCGGACGTTGTCAAGAATAGATAGTGTTTTGATGGGAATTTATCGCCCTTTCCAGGGCGGGGCTAAGGATACGACATACAAGTCGCAAACTAGGAGTGGTTTCCATAGAATACCCGATAGATGGTGTTTACATTGCATGCCAGTTAATGGAAGGATCGAGTTTTGCCTGGGAAGTTTCACTAATAATATTTTTTCTGAGAATGTTTTCTGTTCGACGGTAAATATGCAGCGTGGGCGCAAACTACGGTAACCCCGATGAGGGCACGATCGATTGACACAATGTGGGCACCGAATACAGCCACAAAATGAACCCTTTGTATTGTAAATTGCCTATGAGGGTCTGAGTGATTGCCTTTTGCAGTTATAAAAATTGAACGTTTTCTACTACCCACGCTATACCATACTATTAAGCATTTAGTTTGTATCATAAGTGTGTCGTATCGTATCGTAGTGGCACCTATCGTACCAAAAGTAAGTACAACTTTCTTAGAGCTCGCTTGTAAAATGTTTAGATAAGGAAATGTCGCAACACCCAGTGAAACAATGAAGATTTAATTGTACATTAAAGCTCATTGTAAAGGTACAATGACCTTCTAGGACGTGGGTGTAATCTGAAAGCATGAACTATGATTACCAATCGTACATAAAAATATAACAAAATTTAGTTAATTTTAAAAACAAATTAAGGTAAGCGTAGTATATATGAGAGATAAAAATAATGTGCATAATTATAAATCTAAGCAAAATTGTATTTTTAATTATTCATGGTTAAGGCAAAAAATAGACATTTTTATGCCCTGTAAATATTATACTTTATCGTATTCTAATTACAATTAATTACAATGTAGATGGCATAGAACATATATATTGATATTATATATACCAATAATTACTGTCACAACTTCCATATACCTATTCACTATGCAAATTTAGTCATAAGTTACAGTACTAATTTCATGGTCTATAAGAATTCTAAAGACAAGATCAGGTATACGGTATTTACAATGAAAATAACTACATTATAACGGCGGTATTAGTAATGATTTATGTTAATTTAAATGCATGAGGGCATGTAGTAGACTCATGCAATCACAGGGCCCGCTATCCGTGACCAATGTTAAATTAAGTATGTATGGAACAAACATGGTATCAGTTATTTTGATAGAGCACGTACGAAATCGATTCGTTCTAAGATGATCAATCAATAGTTCGACTCAATTTAGGTACCATGTGAGTGAAACGTATCATAAAAAATAATTGTCTTTTACTGTGGGCATTTAATAAACAATATTAATAGCAATAATAAACAATAGAATAAAATAAAAACAATCTACGATAGATTAATAAATCTATCAAAATATTAGTACGAGTATATACCACTAACTGTATCCCGCGTCTCTGTCCGCACAAATTAAGATGAAATATCTACAAAAATATTTATAACGTGCATATCGGAATAGTGTTTAACAAAATTCTATGTAAGGAATTAAGTAATATTCAGTCAATGTAATAATCTTTATTTGTAATTTTGTATGCCAAAATTTATATATTATTGTAATAAAATTTATTATATATTTAAACAATAAACTTTTTTTTATTTTTAATAACATAGACTTTCTTTTGTTTAGACCAAAACAGATGTTAGCCTATTAATATGTCAGAAGTTACTTTAAAATTTTTTTAATAAGAGAGGCATAGACTTTTTAATCGCTTATGCGTGGTTGAATAGAAAACATTTAATTATATAAACATGCAAATATCTTTGCAAACTTTCATATTTATATTAGTAGAATTCAAATAGCTAGATTTCTTCATACTTTGTTAATAATATGTTCACTTCGCATAGAAAACGTATTTATTTAACAAGCCTTATCGGGTAAACAATGACTGTACAGCGGACATTAAAATGCAAATGTTACAGCCACTAATTAAGCTATGATCGGCTGTGCAGGGGATAGTCCGAAGACGTAGTCAATTATGTTAAATAGTATCGCATAATTATTCAACTACTGGTGATTACTTGTCGTATAGGTACAGCATTTTAAAGCGAATGTAATCACGAGATTGTGTACAGAATATACCTAAAATGCCGCGATCATATGTTAAATTTGTTTAATAATAAATTAATTCAAATATTCAAATAGCTTATAAAACTTTATATATTTATCAAGAATGAATTTCAATACTAATTACATATATCTGTTACCGATTATTCATAATAAAGTGACTTTATTTTTTTAGATTATTAAAATTATTTTAATGTTTTTTTTTTTTATACATGTATATCTTAATAGAATAAAAACATTTTAACCTATTAGGTATATATTGAAATATTACTGAATTATTCAAATGTTTCAAACAAAAAAATTTAGTTTTTTTTTTAAATTAGATATAATAGGTACTACTGAGATTTATTAATTGCGGTATTTAAGATATATTTTTTTATTCCATTTATAAATGTGCAAGTAATATAAACGTTTTCAATCATATGATAAAAAATTGATCTCAGTAAATATGATTATTAATGTTATTTTATAATTTATTTCTCATTATTTCCCTGTCTACGTGCCTTGCCTGCCTGCCTGCCTGCCTGATTTGCCCGCGTGAATCAGCACACAAAGTATCCTATGTGCTAACTTACGATCTATCTATGTACCAAAATTAAAAAAAATAACAAACATCCATCTATCTATATTTACAAAGTTTCGCATTTATAATACGAGTAGGTATTAATAGGATTATTCTTTCATTTTTCTGACCAATAAACATATTGCTTGCTTCATCAATAAAATTATATTAGGTATTTAATAGCTATTTCTCACGATTTTGCCTGTGTTAATTAATATATAAAGCATTGTATAATATTCCCTCCCCTATATGGTATCACGGATTTTAGAGCATAAAATAGTTTTTTTTTTTCTGACGTAGAAACGATTTGTTTCCTGTTATTGTCAGTCCTATCGTGAACTGTATATATTATTGGTATATACATATACCAAATTTGATTCAAATGCGTTAAGCCGTTTCAATGTAATTGAATAACAAACGTTCGAACATCTTTACTTCACATTTATAATATTAGTAGGATTATGTATTTCTATTTTATTATTAGAAATCGATAAATTATATTGTAATAATAATCTATAAATACATTAACAATGACAGCGACAATAGCGAAACGTGATCTAGCTGTATATTGGTCGTGCGGTGGGCAGTGGCCCGTTGACGTGTTATCATCATCGATCTCTGTAATCAGGGATCCCGAATCATTACGTACACAACGGTACAGCGGTCATGCCCAGGCGCCCGTGCATCGTCATTACCGCCGTAATGACGTAATGAAAGACTCAACAGCAGCGTATCATAATACCCCTCTCGTTAGCGCCCATTCAATGTTTCTTTTTTTTTTTTATTCGGAAACTAACTTTATTAAAAAATAACTTTATTACAATGTGTGTCTTTATTTCACAAGAACGATTTAAATAGATTCCATAAGTTCCGCGATCTGTACTGAAATTATTAATAATTATATCTACCACGTTGTTTTTTTTTTATTTAGTTTGTGTAATAATTAAGATATGTCTTAATTGCAATTTCCCTTCTATACCAAACTGATAAAAGAAACCACTTCTGACGTTAAGACATCTTTGTCGTAAATTTCATATAAAAATATTCGCATTAAAATTTAACCAGGCGCTATCTATATCAAGAAATGAGAATATAATGTAAATGCACTTTTAAATTTATATTTTAGATGCATTTGCTAAATATTATCTGCTATTCATGCATAATGAACCCATCTTATGCTAAATATCTATGTACCAATAAATAAAAAGACATAGAAGACGTTATAAAACTTGCAATGTTTTTATTTTCAGGTTGTTGGTGGGTGCACCATTGGGACAAAACTTACAGCCTAACATCACACAATCTGGAGCACTGTTTAAATGTGGTTTAACGCCAGCAGAGTGGGATTGTCAACAGGTCATCACCGATGGAAAGAGCAGTGAGTACATCCACACAGCATATTTTATTAGCGTATTGTCGAAGCTGTGCACTTATCCGAAAATCACTTTATGAATCCAAATTCTGGCAATCATATCAGAGGAAATCATATGCATAGGAATAGTGAAACTATTCTTATGGCATATCATCAATGTATTGCATTTAGTGCACAATAATTGAACAAGTCTACATTATTATAATGTACTCATTATGTGTATTCTCTAAAATCTAATTACACCTTTTTATCCTTCCATTCTTCGTTCATTTGTACTCACCTTCTACTGTTATTGATCGATGATACTCATTTTGTAGGTACATACTCCATACAATATGATTATTACATTTTAATTATAATATTATTATAATATTGTGTTATTCTTAAATATTATATCTGCACTCTTTTACTTATATAATAAAAATTAATACAAAATAATAAAATTTGGCCTATTGTAAATTTTAATAAAGTGAATATTTTTATATGATACACCTAGAAATATCACATCACATCACAAAGTGCAAAATTTAGTTTTAGATAATGCTAAATTCACGCCAATGTGTGTGATAGTAAAATTTAGTTGTAGATATCTAGTGTAAAATATTACATAGAACACTTTGTGTAGAAAATTATATTTTCACACCAAATTGTATATTATAATAATACTACAGTAAAATATTTATATTTGATGTATAGACTAAATTAAAACATTGTTTGAGTGACTATTTAGACAGGAATAATAATGAATTTCCAGTTAATTATTATTATACAAAATACATTTGTATAACTTTAAATGTCTAATTTGATTATGATATTTTATAATCACGATATATATTTTAACGTGCTCAATCAAATGTATATAATAATATATAAGTTTTAACTAAACTGTTATCTTTTGTCGGTGGTGCCCCAAACAGCGAAGTACGGCAAAATAGTCTCGAGTAAGTGAGCTGTGGTCTCATCCTCCTTTTCTTAATAATTTTGCTCTCTAACAAGTATTAACTAATCGCTGTACTTTTACTTTTGAATTTTACTAATTGTCAAACATTTGCCTGTTAAAATTTCAGATATTCATCGTCACTCACGTAAGCATGCACGTCACTAACGCAAGCGACTTGATAATTTTATTTTGCGTTATTTATTATAGAAAAAAGTGCATAACACACATATTTCAGATTTATTTATTTTCGTTTACAAATTGCTAAATTTTTACTGCTTGACTTACATACAAAATAAATAAATCTTAAATATTATTAAAATTATTAGTAATGTTCTAACTGCTTGTCGGAGCACCAATTCACTGCTTGAGCTAAAAACATACCTCATCAGTAAAATATTGTATAAAGTTGTCATTAGCTATCGTGGACCTTTATGGAAATATCTAAACAACTTCGTAGTAAATTATGTTACATTAGTTATGTAGAATTAAATTATTAGTTTAAGCTTATTAGGATTTAGAAATAAAAAATATAGAATCTTATTGAGTAAAAAGCAATTATATTTTTCGTTACTTGATAAAAAATGGTTAAAGGTGACTGGTTATTTATTAATTGTATAGATTAAATATTAACAGTAAAGAAAACTAGACAAGAATATTAACTCACAAATTGACAAAATAATCCATAACAAACAAGTGATGTTGAAAAACCAATGTATATCTGGTTTTGATCAGGGATCGTAAGTATCTAAAGCTAACTAGAGATAAAAATTAACGCAGGGCCGATTAACATTATAGATTTAACTTAGAAAATAATCAAATAATAATATTAAAAAAATAATTGGTGTTATTTGGTGTATTAATAAATCGGCCGCCAATTAATGAAATCAGTATCAGCTCTAATTTAACATCTGTAGTCCTCGATGTAACGTTTATTAACCTGAGACCACAAGTTTTCGCCGTCTTTTCATATATTCATTTCAGGTTTGCAGGAGTATCGACACTTTAGTATTTCACGTATTGTCACTTTAGAAGTCTTAGCTTGATGATGTACTTTATTTACAATAAGACACCGTTGTTTGCATGTTGTACCATTATATGAATTTTGAGAAATGCTTTAATAGTTCGCATAAGATCTATAAAATTCGAATTATCATTTGCAATATTATTTATTTTTGCTGAATCATTTAAAAGAGTTACTCTTGCATTCACGCCTGGTGCTTTGCATTTGCCAGATTACCACCAATACGGTTTTCAAATGGGAATTACAAAGAACTTGGAAGCAAAAGCAACTCATTTTCAATGTAAAATTCTGTAATGTTGTTGCCTTTGTTTATTTTTGTTTAAGTTTTTTTTTTTTTAATTGAACTAATAGTTTTATTATTCTTACAAATGTAGATATTTCCTTTGTGTTTTGGGTGGATCCAATAACCTGGCGGTTTAGTTGATTTGAGATCGACTATATTCTATTAATTAAAGTTTAACTTGTATGTAATATGTGCTTCTGAGTCTTTAAAATTATTATTTGCAAAATCATGTGATAATTTAATATTCCAATAATTGCATTTAATGTTGCTATCCAAATTGGGCTAATTAAATTGCATATTTAACTCATATCTTATGTATTAATGCAAAATTAATTTATGTAGACCCAGAAGGCTACAATCTTACGCAGCCCCATTCTGATGAACAGAAGAAAGGACAATGGCTAGGAGTTTCAGTGCGCAGTCAAGGTCCAGGGAAGAAGGCAGTCGTTTGTGCTCACAGGTAAATCACATTTTGCATGTACCATCCCCTTTCCAGTATTATAGTATTTAAAAGAATTGAGATTATAAATGAGAACTAAGATTATGAACATAATTTTATAATATTTATAAATATATCTATCTCTATTTGGCATATTAGCAGTTTGGGACTATACAATAAGCCCAGAAATATTTATGTTTTATAATATTATTGTGAAATCTTAAATCATTCCGAAAACAATTTTCGATTTAGACAGCATTCATAAATCGTTAGCGAATTGTATGTAATTAAATCACAACCAGCAAATTTTTTTAAATCAAATTGTTGTCATAGTGTCTATAAAAATTACTCTATTTTAGTAAAGAAGATAGTTTTCCTATAGAAAACATTTTTTTAATGATTTTTTTAAATGGACTTTCAGGTACATTCGGAAGGTTCTTGAAGCACAATATGGGCAAGGTCTATGTTATACGTTATCTAATGAGCTCAAATTAATAGACGCGTGGGAGCCATGTCGAGGCAGATCTGTTGCAAGGTAAATGTCCTGTATAATTATATATCGTAACACTATATTGCATTCATTATTGGATATAATGCCCTAAGTAGATAGGGTATTTACTATATACCTAGATATCTATTAAATTGGCAATATTCACGCATCAAACAGACAGGCGTGACAGATATGTATGTATGTATGTATTCACGCATCAAAATTCTATGTGAGTATGTAAGGGAAGCAAAGTAATATAGTGTAATCTTTGACAACTTTGAATTGAAAAGTGTATAAATATAAAAGAGTCGGTGTCGTTAATGATTTAGTGTCCGTCCTTTTAATGTGTATATTATGAAAACAGAATTAAACAAAAAAAACTGTATATATTGCTAATCTATAAGCTCGTACTGCTTTTAGCAATAAACTGATATAAAATTAAATGTCTAATTATATAAATTTAGTATATAATTAGATATTTCATTAAATCAAACAAATATGTAATTGTTTTCAGGGAACACGAAGAATTTGGGTTTTGTCAGGTAGGGACAAGCAGTTCTTTATTGGATGACGATACTTTGGTTATGGGTAGTCCTGGTCCTTATACTTGGCGAGGGACTTTATTCGTCTCCGATGCTAAAGATGACCTTCTTGAACGAGACAATACGGTCTACTTAGCTCCTGTAGAAGACGGACAAAGTCCTGTAGAGAAATATAGTTACTTAGGTAATTTTTTTTTTTTCAAGTATACAATATGTAATAAGAATAATCACGGTACCATTAATTATACTTCTCTTGTCGTTTTCTTTAAAACTTACAGCTGCATCATAAATAAATCTATAGTCTTACCACATATTTAATATAATGGGCGCGTTATTTTAATGTAATCACTATCACTTTAATTATGAAGAAATATCATCTCGTTTAAGGTATCATGGTGCCACAGTAGACAATTTGTAATCTCCGTCCTTGAATTGGTCATGTCTATAAGCGATGGTTATTATCCATTCATCTCCTACTGCCACGTAATTTCTCTTAATATAAATGGTAAATACGTAGGGTAAATACTTTTAACAAATCTTACTAATTAAAGCATCAATCATAGATTCGACCATGTCTGATGTTTTCGGCAATATAATATGCAAATTGATTGTAACGTTCATTGTAGCAGTATAATTGTCTGTCTGTACTGTAATAATGACGTCAATTTACCATGTTCTCTTATTAATTATACAGTCTGTATAAATAAAGGATAATTTTACTTAAAAAGAGTGTACTACTAATGTCTAAAAATATATTCTATTCCAGGAATGTCAGTAATAGGTGCCAAGTTTTTTGACGCTAAATCATCATACGCAGCTGGCGCCCCGCGATCTCATGGTACTGGTCAAGTCGTATTCTTCAGCAAACGGGAAATACAGAATTGGACACTAACTAACGTCAATTTTCTTGGACTAAAGCATATCATAGATGGAGAACAATTTGGTTCTAGTTTTGGCTATGAAGTCTCCGCGGCAGACGTTAACGGAGACGGGTATGTTTTTTTATCAATTTAGGTACTCGTATCAATATATGTATGTATAGTATGCATTACTATCATTATATTATATTATTTATTATCAAAACTCAAATCTAATTGATCAAGATTTTACAGAAAAAGATAAACAAGTTAAAGAAAACCATGATAACAATAATCTGTAATAGTTTATTAGATCATGTTAGTAGTAATTAGTATTGTCTTCCTATTTTCAGATTACCAGATCTGCTAGTTGGAGCGCCATTCTATTTTTCTCGTGATACAGGTGGAGCTGTCTATTTATATCTCAATATGCAATATACTTTCAAATCTAAGTACGACGTTAAACTGACTGGAAAACCGGAGTCTCAATTTGGAATTTCTATAGCAAATGCTGGAGATTTAAACAAAGATGGCTGTGAGGATGTTGCTATTGGCAGTCCTTATGCAGGCAATGGTATAGTCTACATCTACTTAGGAGACAGAAAGAATGGTCTTAATACTAAACCTGATCAAGTGATAGAAGCAGAAGATTTACCAAGATACATGAAGACATTCGGATATTCGCTCTCAGGTGGAACAGATTTGGATGGTAACGGATATCCAGATTTGCTGGTTGGCGCTTATGAAAATGTATGTCAACAAAAATGTTCTAATTTGAAAATTAATAAACATTATTATTTAATTAAATAATTATAGACTTACTATTATGTGTAATTTAAGTAAATAAAAAATATTTAGATACTATTTATTCACTATAGTCGTTATGGTGAAAGCGTTTTCGACGAGAGTATATTCAAACAAGCACAGCTATGCTACTGCTGTCTTATATCAATTAGTAATGTTTACAATCAATAGAGATTTAGTTGCCTACCTATTGTCCATTATATTGCAACTAATAAGTAAAACCATCGTCCTGTTATATTAAGAAATCATAAATTCAAATTAAGCATAACGATTATTACTATTTACATCATGTAAACTATGTCAAACAATCAGGACAAAAATAAAAATCCAATGATAAAGATCATAATGCTATACTTTTTTTAAGGAATATAAAGTTTTATAAATATTTTAAATTCCATTAGACAAAATTAATACAATATTAAAAATAAATTTAATAAATTAAAATATTTATTATTTTAAATTTTCTTTACAGAGTAGCGTTGCACTAATTCGAACCAGACCAATCATCGACATTCAGACTTGGGTAGTGCCAAAAATCGTAAACATTGATCCAACGCAGCAAAGCTGTGATAAAAACCCCGAATCGAACAATACCTGCTTTTACTTCCAAGCATGTTGTATTATCAGATCTCTAGTGGAATCTACTGAAAATAAAATACACAAACTGAATTATGTAATAGAAGCGGAAACATTTGCGAATGAAAGGAAATTCTCTAGAATCTTCTTTCATTTTGAAAAGACGAATATAGTAAACGGAACTATAATACTTGGCAAAGATATAGAATATTGTATTGAACATATTGCATATTTGAAGAATAATACGAGAGATATTCAGACGCCTATAAGAGTAAGTAAACAACTGAAATATGTTAGACATCGGATAGTCGATTAAATCGGATTTTATTAATAAAATTCTCATTTACATATACGATTATGGGTGAGCATGTTTAAATGGAAAAGTAATGAAACATGTTTTCGTCTACAGAATTATTTATTATTATTATTTCTCACCACAAACAATTTAGGACTTAATATCTATAACTTGCAAAACATTTTAACAATATTATTTGTGGGAGCTGGTGCCTGTACTAGGTATTAAACCTGTATTACAAGTCACCAGGACCCTTACCTCGAGCAGTACAAATTATACAAATGAAAACTTTCACAAAAAGGTGATAATGAGTACATAAAAAATTCAGATACATCGCGTATACAAAATAAATAGCTTTCGATATATATAACATTAAAACAAAAACAAATTATATGCTAGGGTAAATAAGAATGCATTAAAATATAAGTAAAAAAGTGTGACACGAGTTTATGTTATAGAGTGTATGTTATGTATATGTATTTGTATCTGAACGTGTGACTATATATGAGTTTGTTCAGTGTGTGAGTCAATTGATCAATGAGTTCAATTATGACTATATAATAAGTTGCTCACATATCTCGCCACTTATCTAAACCAAATCCTTAATCTAGAATAATTCGTGTTAAGAAAAATTAGGCAACGTGTAAAATGGCACGATCCACAACATTTAAAGTTCAAACTGATATCTAACTTCCTAATATTGATAACCAATATCATTCTGTGTACAATTGGTATAATGTTAATATAGCCGATAAGATATATTTAATAATCTATATCATTTACAGGAAACATTGTTGACCACAAGAAATGACTATAAATATTACTTCAGAGCGTTAAATAAGCCTGCAATTCATAGGAATAACCGATTCACATTGCGACTAATATTATCGTGTAATCTCGGCATAGAATGGGCCACCCCATTCTTTGCCATGGGTGTCGTAAGAAGAGACTAACTTAAAAGTCTTAGAACTTATATATATTTTATAGTTTGAAAATGAGTATATAAAAAAATATATATAAAGTATACAGAATTTCTGTTTTACTACTTTGTGCTCATTAATAACATATTATTTAACGAAGACTTGTCTCTTTTATTATTATATATTATATTAATAAAGATCAATCCGTATTATTAGTTACCATTATCGGAATACAATCCATAGAAATTTTCATCCAATCCAATTTTCTATAAATTCTATCCCGCATTATAATTTTTAAGCTTTTTGTCTAAAGTGATGAGTATAGACTCATCGTAATGCTAATCACGGGGAGATCTTATCAGTATCGTTCTGATTAATTTGGATTCTAAGAGTTTATCATCGGCTAAGAGATGATTCTCTCTTGATAAATTGGAGTTTAAAACTTACTATAAACTTTTGTTTTTTAGATTCGTCTCACATACATACTTGAGCACGTGCAGCCACAGTACTCCACGTATGGGGTACTGCCCAACATCGACGAATATCCTGTACTGAACGCTACCGCTACCACTACATTCAGTGCCAGTTTCCTGAACGACTGCGGCGAGGACGGCATTTGTAATAGCGACCTCGTTGTATACCCTGTACTCTTGCTTCCTAAAGGTCCGTTTGTAAACTAAAAATATTACTAAATTGTTAATAAAGTTACAAAGATACTTTTTAGTATAAGTTTACCCAGAACGAGATTCTGTACAAAAATCAGCACTTGTGTTTCTGCCGTTAAGTAATTACATTTGCATGGTTAGTTTCAATATAAAAAGTGGTATATATAGCAGTAAAATTACAAGTTGTGGAAGCATAACACCTTAATATTGCCCCCCCAGCTTGTATCGATAGCGCGGACGGAGTTACCATTCCATTCCAAAAAGTACTTTAGTCATTTGGAATGATAACATCAGAGTATATTCTGTAATATCCTCATGAACATCTCCTCATTATTACTATTTAGTTCTATAGGCGATAGTTACCACTTTCCCAGATGAGAAAAAAACTTGCTGGAAGAAAACTTTTCGAAGTATTTGTGCTTTCAACAATATATTATAAATGGATATTAAATATGAGTCATTCCATTTAAAATCGTCTAAAAATAAAAAAAAATTGTTGCCGACCCATTTTAGATTTTAGTGTAACTTTGAGGGACTCTTCTCTAGGGTTCCTAAGAATGAAATTTACACGAATTTGATTTTTATAAGCGCTTGATTCCGCGCATTTAAATAAAAACTTCAAAATATCGATTTTTTTTAGCTTAATTAATTTTTCCTCAAAGTTTTTTTCTTTTTGAAGATTATTCCATTATTGAACCGTAATTCTTAGGTGAATAGATAGTAGTTTAAGTATACCAAATAATAATTTGCTCAATAAATACCTACCATTAGCGACAGCGTGCTGAAAATGAGTGTTTTTTAGTCATTTTTCGTGAATTTTAAGGGACTCTAGTGTCTTAACTGTTTGGAGTTAACAACTTCTGGTGGGCAGGAATTAAGTACACATATCATAGATAAAATTCAGCCATTGATCGACTTGAGCCGCCCACTCTTTATAGAAGATAACTTTGTTTGAAGTTTTGAAATTTTGAAAAATCGCATTATTCAGCCAATAAAATGAATGTGTCTACTGCGAGATAAAATTCTGAACTTCTCAGAATCTTTTGTTCTAACCTTCAACTTTGGACGACTGCATTGCTTGTTTTGTTATTTTAATGTTTAGTGCATGTCCCAGCTGTTTTTTGACAGCAAAAATCACGTCAATTTTTTTTATATTATAATCATTATAAATTTAGTTTTTTTTTTTTTATTTCTTTCCACTTATAAATATCATGTCTTACCTTTTTATTGATCCACAGGTACTTTTATCTTTACAGTTTATTACTAGACGTTTTGAAATAAATTATGAACAAAAATAAATATGAATGTGAAAAGATTTTTACAGATTCAATAGAATTATGGATATATTGAGTATAAAATTATCTTCAGAAGTAATAGTTACTGGAAAAGACAGTTACTGTAAACAAATTTAACTGGAAAATTATTTTTTAATCAACAATTGACGTTTTGGTCTTACAATATTAACAATATCAAAATTATCGGAAGCCGAGTATCTCCGCGCTTCCAGTTGATTTTGAGAAATTGGTATAAAACTATGATATGATCTCGTATTTTTAATTGTATTTATATTTATAAATCGTTTAGATAAGAACGTTTCAGCAGCTTCCACGTCTTGGCTTGATACATAAAAGAATTTAATGCGAGAAATTTTACTAGAACAAAAATCATACATGGCTACTGGAGTCAAAATATGATGATCTGTAGTTCGCTGCAAGCTTGCTTTTCTCACGTACCTTTTGATTGTACCACCTGCTCCATCACATGGACTTTTTCCATGAGAAGTGGCAAAGAAATGCCACTCTACCTGTAGTCCAAAGTCTGCTTCATGATGACATATAAAATTTTTCTTATTCTTGTATTGAGCAGCTGCTCCATCACTAAAGTAATAATTTTTTTTAAACTCCGGATGGCTGTTTTTGACATAATCAAGAAAAATTTTTTGAAACGCGTAAAATAATACTGTATTGTGAGTAAAATAATCACTTATCACGCATAAAGTTTTTACCTTCAGCACTCCGTCTTCTTTAAAATAAATCACAAAAGGATGTAGAGTAGCTTGATTATTTGTCCAATGAAAAGCTTGTACTTCATCTTGCACCATGAATGAATAGAATTTCGATTATGAATAAAATCATACTCTTAATAATTTAGAAAAAAATAAAAAATTGACGTGATTTTTGCTGTCAAAAAACGGCTGGGACATGCACTAAACATTAAAATAACAAAACAAGCGATACAGTCGTCCAAAGTTGAAGGTTAGAACAAAAGATTCTGAGAAGTTCAGAATTTTATCTCGCAGTAGACACATTCATTTTATAGGCTGAATAATGCGATTTTTCAAAATTTCAAAACTTCAAACAAAGTTATCTTCTATAAAGAGTGGGCGGCTCAAGTCGATCAATGGCTGAATTTTATCTATGATATGTGTACTTAATTCCTGCCGACCAGATGTTGTTAACTCCAAACAGTTAAGACACTAGAGTCCCTTAAAATTCACGAAAAATTATTAAAAAACCACTCATTTTCAGCACGCTGTCGCTAATGGTAGGTATTTATTGAGCAAATTATTATTTGGTATACTTAAACTACTATCTATTCACCTAAGAATTACGGTTCAATAATGGAATAATCTTCAAAAAGAAAAAACTTTGAGGAAAAATTAATTAAGCTAAAAAAAATCGATATTTTGAAGTTTTTATTTAAATGCGCGGAATCAAGCGCTTATAAAAATCAAATTCGTGTAAATTTCATTCTTAGGAACCCTAGAGAAGAGTCCCTCAAAGTTACACTAAAATCTAAAATGGGTCAGCTTTGCCGATTAGAAGATTTCAAATGGAATGACCCATATATTTTTATTTCTAGCTGACGATAAGTCATATGCTTTAATACTGGGTGAAGAAGAGGAAATAAAACTAGCTGTCGATGTAAACAACAATGGTGACTCCGCGTACGAAGCGCAACTGTTCGTACAACACAGCCCTAACTTGCATTACATAGCTGCCAATATTACTGTAAGTTTAAGCTAAAGTTTTTCTCCATAAAAGCAAAAAAATATATCTACGTATAAAAGACAAAATAATTAAATATATGTATTGAAAGTTAAAAGTTTTTCCTGACGGAGAACTGTCCACTATAGGGCCTTTATTACAAACTATTAAAATGTTCCGACCTCCTACTTTATAGATTTTAACTATATAAATAAAAATTAAAGCTGTTCATTGTAAACTCATCATTTGAGAATGGGATGTAAATTGGCACGAGTGAGGTTGAGGTTATTGAGGTTGCTTCGATATTTCAAGAAAATAAATATCTTTTTTTTTTTTTAAATAAAGGAAACCTAAAATCTGAAATTTATACAAAATAATGACTATCAGTTTTACTTGATAATATTTTATTTTAAAATTAACTTCATTTTCTATGAATATTAAAAAACTAACATCCTAAAAATTACCGATATTTGCAGGACAAACGCTTAATCTGCGGCAGTGTAAACAAGACCCTTGTATCATGTATGCTTGAGAATCCTTTTAAGCAGCAGCCAGAAGGCACGCCACCTATTATCCTACGGTTTGATGCTCGAGCGTTAGAAGACAGTGACCCGTCAGTTTCGTTCACCGTTTGGGCAAACTCCACTTCCAAGGAATTGTACCCAGACAAAACTCCAGAAGAAGTGAAAGCATTAGTTATAAAGAATGCTGAGTTGCCGATACATGGGTAAGAATTAGTTTACAGTTTAAGATATTTATTTCTTAAAAAAATACAAGTATTAAATAAGATTACAGTTAACTAAAAATAATTATATTATATTATTATATTATATATATGATTATCATAGCCGGGCGCATACAAATTGCGATGTACAAAAAAATTATTCTTCTTCATTTATGATAACTGTTATTATAAATATTTACTAATGTATACAATTATTAATATTATAAACTAGCAGTTTGCCCCGGTTTCTCGCGTATATATAGAAAATAATATATAGGCTATGTTAATCGTTGATAATGTAATTTCTATAGATGAAAGTAATTTTAAAATCGGTTGAGTAATTTTCAAATGACTTCAAAAAGAAAGAGGTTTTCAATTCGGTAGTATTTTATCTTCAGAACTCCGTCAGTTGTAAATCGCTTTGGAAAATTATTTTTTATCTTACTATACTTATTGATTATACTTAATGATTTATCTTACTGATTCCATATAAATTTTATCAAAACCAATTTACTAATTTAGTTTTCAAATCAAAATAACTGATTTTACCACGATTGAATTCAACTTTTTGAGGAATATAATCTTAATTGTTGAGTTTATCCAATACAAACAAACTTTCTTTTTTTTTTTTAATATTAGTATAGATGTAAAAATGAGTTTATTCATTCATTTATTTATTACCTCATGGCATCTTAACGGCTTAACCAATCGTTATGAAATTTTATGTACACGTATAATATGAGATAGATAAAGACATAGGCCATATTCATCCAGTCAGTGAAAACATCCCAATTACGTAAACCAAGTCGCTAGTATCTGAAAAATATATATTTTTGATTAGTCAAGTAAAAATTGGTAAGATAAAGGCATAACATCACAAAATCTATTGGTAGAAGTTAACTAACTAGACAAAAATCTTTTTAAAGTATCGAAAATAATAACTATCGGTATTTAATATTTTTAAACGATTCATTTGCAGTGTCGCGCGTCCCGAACAAGTATTCTATGGCGGAGAGGTGAAGGGCGAGTCAGCCATGACTTACTTCGACGACATTGGACCCGCTGTTGTACACACGTATCAGGTATTATTTATTATGTCACAATTAAAATAATATTTAGAAAAGATAACTAATAATTACATTTCCAAAAGAATTGATATACGCATAAATTTGAGTAAATACCATTGAATTTACTGAAATTTATACTTTTTTTTTTAAATTGCAAGTTCTGAGTTTATTTTGAATTTATTTATGCAAGACAACTTACAAATAATAATGATTTAAGAGTTTAATATTTATGCTGATAACTATTTATTTGAAATTATCAATAGTTATAATTAAATATAACTCTTATTCGTAATAAATGCTGTCAGTTCAATGTTATATTGAACCCACTAACCTTAAATTGTACAAATTATATTTTATTTATTCATTAGTACAAATATGTGTACATGGCGGACTTAATGCTAAAAGCATTCTCTCCCAGTCAACCATAAGGAAGTTTCAGAATACTCAAATGCGGTACTACTAATTATTAATATACATACATACTAAAATTACATATATAAATGAATAAATATATATGAATAACAAATATACTTCCACATATATGATGTATACTATATTATACACGAATTTGGGAATAATATAAAGCACTTACTGCTCGCATAAAGTAAAAAAGTGAGCGTGAACGTTTTTTTTTTAAAGACGGTAGTCTCTTAATAGCATCAGGAAGCGCGTTCCAGAGTCGTGAAGAATGTAGAAGAAAAGAGTTTGAAGCATAACCAGTACGGTGAGAGGGGAAAGATAGTTGGAGAGTTATTGGAACGAAGGTTACGATCGTATATATAAATATATTAGATGATAATGGAATGCTAATCCTGTCTATATACTATATTATTATTATTTCAGCCGTTAACTGTCCACTGCTGAACATAATTCTTCCCTATAAGGGGAGTTTTGCCAGTAATTGCCACGCTTAGCAGGCGGGTTAGCAACCGCAGTTAGGCTTTTAGAGATATTTTAAAAAAGACGCTGCTGCCCTTCCCTCTACTGTAGTCCCCTTAGTCGTCTCTGACACCCACAGGAAAGGAAGGGGTGACCTAATCTATGCCGAGACACACACTGCGATATAAACTATATACTATTGGTTTATTCTGGCTGATACCAGAGAAGAATGATACGAGTAGATGGAGAAATCAGGTCTATCGGCTCATCGTAATTAATTCACCAGGAATTGACTACGATGGTATTCAGGGGGACCGTGTGGAGTTTGATCTGACAGGCGCTACTTCTTCTTTCTAGTTATTAAACAACCAATATTTGCTCAACAACTTAGCAACTTCCAGGGCACAGTTAGTCACCTCGTTCAGGTCATCTGACAGGGTCATGTCACCATTATAAACAATTACTTATCTCCTAATCTGACAGGTTAGCAATGAGGGACGATGGCGCGTGCCGGCGGTGCAAGTACGTATCAATTGGCCGCACGAAGTTCAATCCAACGAACCTCGGGGCAAGTGGCTGCTCTACCCAGAAAACATCACTGCTATCGATGAAGAAACTGGTAAGTTCTGTATCTATATTAAAATAACAAGTCTGTTCTAAGATACATATTTAAAATTAATTTTATGCGTTTTTTTCTGTATTCTAGGTATTTTAGAACCAGTTAACGTTATAGAATTGTTTCACTGTATATTAATTAACAAAAGTACTACTGATAATTTGTTCTCTTTAGTAAAATCTATAATATCGCTAATAATATAGCATTAAATCATTAAAATATATACCAGGAGACTTTGTACAAAAGTCGTTTGCTTGCGTACCTCTGTCCCATTCGTGTTTCTACCGTGAAGCAGTTGTGTTTGCATGGTTGTATTTTGGTTTGAAGGGTGAGATATGGCAGCGAATTTACAGGGTACAAAGGAATAACACCTGAGTCCTCAGGAAGGGAGGCATCATGGGCGAAACAGTATACTCTTTTATGTTCTTGATCTGCTCATGTCTATAGGCGACGGTTACCACTTTCCATCAGGTGGGCTGTCAGCTTGTTTGCCGTCCTAAATTGCATAAAAAAAAATTACAATAAAATATTTTCAAAACTAGTTTTACAATAAAATTACATGGAAGTCACTATTTAAGTTTTTAATGTCATACTATTAATTTCATAATATACATTATATATTTTCAGGTCATATTCATGGTAAATGCTTTGCACAAGAGGATGAATTAAATCCTTTAAAATTGAAATCACGACCCGGTCTCGCGGAACCACTTTTAGAAAATCTAAAAATGGACCCAATGCTTAAGTCCGGAAAACATGCAATGAGGTCAAGTGATAGAAGACATAATTATACTAAAAAGGCGTACTCATACTCCAGTGCTGTGGAAAATAGAGTCAGAAGAAGAAGGGCTTCTGACATTGTGGCTACAGCTGAGGCGTATAATGATGATGGGCAAAGAAAATATATTGAGACAATGGTATGTTAATGAACTTTACTCAGATATTCTACATTTAGGAGTTAAATGAAAATATTATGCCTATAGGATTAATTAAATTTAAATAGGTATTTAGTAAAAGTGTCACAAACTGAAATAAAAATATGTTACTATCTCTTTTAATTTGGAACGAAAAATTATCTAGTGATTTTGTATCTTTTTTATTCATTTATGTATCTTAGGTATTTAATATTCTGCAATATTTTTTATTTATTTATTTTTTGCAGAGTTGCGCAAAGAAGACAGCGAAGTGTATATTGTTTCAATGCATCATATACCCTCTGGCTCGGAAGCAGTCGGTATCTATAACCATAAGGGCGCGATTATGGAATTCTACGTTAATAGAAGAGTACCCACGCGTCAGTTATGTCGGTATAGTCTCGTCCGCTTCAGTCGATATACCTGATCATTATAATATATATCAGGTCAGCAGTGACAACACAGCTACCGTAAGTATACTGTTTCTGAATTTATATCCTATGACTTAATCTCATACGGGTTTTTGATAATGGAAAAAACGGAAACGATTCAAATCTTTACTTTTTGTGTATTTTGGAATAAAAAAAAAATTATTGTGTGCCATACTATAGCAAATAAGCTAACAGCTAATCTCACAGAAAATGGTAATTAATTTAATAATTTCATAATTTTAAAAGTCTATTTGTTTATTTAGCACTCCAATACTTAAGGTATTAGAGCTCTAAGTAAACAATTTTCATGACATCATTCAGCATGGAAAAGGACATATTATTTTGTCCCAGTCACATGAACTAAGTCACGGAAGTATTTAAATAATACCATTGCTAAATATTAAAACCTCCGTTTATAAAAAATAGCTATAAAATAACATGTATACCTACATATATACGTATATATATTAAAACGCAGTTGTCAAAATTACAAGAATTTCTTGATATTTATGATCAACGATATACTAAAGAATGCTTCTGTAATTGTAGACAGCAGTCGTATATAAATTTTAATAACTTGTTTAATGAAAATATTTCGAAGTACAATATTTTTTATTCTTGTTTTATTATAGAAAGACGTGTCCATTCAAACGAGTTATACAAAGTATTATTATAAAAATATAAATATAAAATAATTTTTATATATTATAAAATATTTAAAATATAATTATTATCATTTATAGGTGGTGACGATAGCATATCCGGACTTGCAGATAAGTAAGGCAACAGAAGTTCCATTATGGGTGATCATAATATCTGTAATCATCGGACTCATAGTTCTTGTTCTTCTCATAATATTTCTATGGAAACTTGGCTTCTTCAAACGCAGTCGGCCAGACCCCACGCTCTCGGGTAACTTGGAGAAGAACAATCACGAAGCAAGTCCATTATTTGACCATAATAGATAGACTTCATTTACCCATTTATTGTGGACATTATTGTGCATATTCGGTTGTCCCATTAAACTAAATTAGGTTAAAATTCATGTCACCTTTTTGATCCCACTTAGTTAATTAGAGGAGATGGATATACAACTTGTAGCAAGTTGTACCATCTCAAAATAATTTATTTTAATTTAATGGTGCATCAGAATTGAGACTATTGTCTAAATGTATACTGTGTAGATATCGAAAATGATACTTTATAAGTATTGATTTTTATATGTTTGTTAGGGGATATGTTTAGATGTCTAACATCATAGTCTTAGAGGTATCGAATACCAAACATATCTATATCAAAAAAATTAAAAATTCTATGTACTCTGTAGAATTATTAAAATCGACGAAATTCTTACAATTTTGATAAATATCAAAAGTCGTATTTATTTAGGTATTGGACCTATTCTTATAGGGTCGTTTTACTATTGATGTATTATCGAACTAAAAAATCAAAAACTTTACATTAACTGTTTAATATTGCTGTTTTATACTAATATTAATTCTAAAATATTCAGAAGTCGATCTATTTTACTTTGTATGATCTTGGGTAAAAGACTACGTACTTACATGCCCTATGATTAAGCAGAATGGATACTCTTAATCAGAGTAACACAGAATATGGCTATATAGATGTAGCATCGAACATTGTCCCCTAGTGAATTCGATGTCTATGAGTTAGCAAGTAAATTATTATTATACATCTTTGTCTGTGATGTCTTCATAGAGGAAATTGAGAGAGTATGTGATGTTCTAAACAGTATAGCTTGTTTTGTTGTATCCTTGATACGATAAATTATGTTGTTTTATATTTGCATTTTTGTAGCGATTTGTATGATATGCAAGTTATGATATTATTTAAAGTTTATTTCAATTTTTTATGTTTGATTTGTTTTATACACAAATTACAGTTTACATATTTTGAGTATAAAATTATTAAAAATCTATGTTTTAAAATTTATTCAAACAAAAAGAAGGAAATGAATTTTAAATTATATCTTCATGTTTTCTTTTGTAAGTGACAATATTTCTGTAAATACTTGCCTTATTTATGAATAGTTTAATTGTATACGTAAGTAGAGCTTTCATCAAGGATTTAATTGGACTAGATATTTTTACTAGTCACAAAATATAGGTTTTACCCAACATACACAAAATGTTAAAAAAAGGAAACAAAACCCTACGAAACAAGTAAAGAAACTATCACACTACAAACACACATACACAGAAATAAACACACGCATATACACGTGTGTATATACACGTCTTGGAAGCGAATATTTTTCGGGTATACATTATTAGTAATGATAGGGTAAATGCTTACAGTTAAGTGGTAATGGTAATTCTTATAATTTAATATAAAATCTATTAAAAAACCAGAGAAACAAGAGTATTGCTATCTTTCTTATTTAAAATCAGTACTTATTTACTTTTTATTTAACTAAATGTAAATATTATATTTATTTAACACAGAAAACTACTTCCTTTATTGTTATAATAAATACAGCTAATAAAAAGAGAAATTCCGTTTTATCAGCTGATGAGATTTGTCATCTTTTTCTAATTTTATAAATAATTTACTTACGGAATTGCTTAGCTAGCATAGCATAGATATTAAAAAAAAATTGTTAGCATGTACCCTATTATAAATTTATATAAATTGGTCACAACTTAAATACTTTACATTCAATTTTGAAATTCTGGCTTATAACGAAGTTATTATTTTTAAAAAGTGTTGGTCCTTAAACTACAATTTACGAGTACTAAAAATTTTAGGTAATAAGTAGGTAAGTATTGTAAAATGAAACTTCAGGAACTGAAAAGGGGATAACAAGGAAGAAAAAATATTATTTATATCCACAATATAGTTACAAATAAGTATTTTCTACATTGTATATGTTATGTAATTACTTTTTTATATAAAAAATTTAACTTCATTTTTGACAAAATGGTATAAAATCCTCATAATTGATTGACAATTGGCTAATATATCGCACAAAGAATGCAAAAAATACAATAAAATGGAAAATCTCATTTACTAAAATAGTTAAAAAGACAAAAATTTAATACAGAAAAGTACAGGATAAGTGTTTCCAGCGCTTCAGTGTCATACATTTTAGACAATATATGTACCATTAGGTGACTGACGATGGAGTGAAAAAATAAAAATGTATATAGTCTAAGGTGTACTGGCCAATATGAAAAGGACGTTATGACACATTTTCATGCACCATTTATGTGATTCCAGTAATTAAAATTGGAGTACTTAAATATTTTTAATACTACTTAATACTAAATCTACTTAATATTATAATTATAAAAATGTAGAAGTACATATTATTTACTTTTTATCAACAATTAAAATAATACGACAAATCATTATTTGGTTATGTACTCTTACTGATGAGTATTTGATGAAATTTTGAGTTTAAAGAGAATGTCATAAGACGTGAAATAGTACTATTGATTAAGAATTATTATGGATCATCTATAGCAAGTACATTATTAATATTAGTAAAACAGAAAAAAACATAATAAGTGAATTAAAATAATGCTATATCGAGTAAAAATCCCAGGTTAGTAACCTAGGATTAGGGTTCCTATAATTACTTTTTTCAACATTTGATTATTCTTGTATTTTAATGTTTATGTTCTTTTAATTAATATGACAGATACTGCATTTTGTGTATCATTTTCATAATTGTGATTGGAATGTGTAAATTTATATAGAAAGACTTGTTTTTTTTTTTAATTAGTTGTAATTTTAATATGTATTGTAAATATGAATTGTTCATAATTTAGATTTTTTACTAGTTATTTGTTAATCATATATTCAAAATTGTTAGCACTTGAATTTCATAACGTCTATCACTGCCAATGAATTTTAGAAGACTTTTTTAATATAATTAAATGGTTTATCAACATAATACTTTATTATAGTAAAACAGTATTTATGGATTTTATTAAAAGAGATAAGGTACATTCATATTTTATTTCATCAGTTCTTTCTTAAATTGTAAGTACCTTCTATGTTTCAGGTGCTTATTGCATAAGAATTTTTATTAATTTGTATACAATTAAATCTAATTAAATGAAACCAGTACTAGGTAAATACTTTGAATTGTTCTTTTTTTACTTACATTTACTTAATATTTCGATATGCCAGTTATTATAGATATCTCTTTAATATAATATACTTTTTGTCACCTTACCACTGGTTGTGATTTATTTCATTAATTCATTGCTGGTAAACAAACGATGGATATAATATCTATATAATTGTACATTTTTAAAATGAATAAAATTGTGCCATTTTGATAATGTTTTCTTTCATTTAAATACCTAATAAAACTGTAAAAGTGTGTTATATTCGAATATCAAAATCTGTAAAAAACTATTGGTGGAAGTGTTTGGCTGGGCTGATTTCACTTTATTTTATAATCAATTCTTTTTCTTATACTTACAACCGTACCGAACTCTTTACATATATTTACTGATCGACGTTGCCTGCTTGACATGTCCATTAGCCGTCCCCTACTGATCAAACTAAAAATTAAAATGTCTAATTCACATACGTATCTAGTAGGCATAATGTACTACGTACTGATCGTATCACCTGTAGGGATTTTAATAGCACTATTCCTATAAATTCCCGTATGGTCCCGGCATAGAATAAGCCATCCTTTTCTTTCTCGTGGGTGTCGTACGAGGCGGCTAAGGGAGGGCGAGGGATAGACAGCAGCGTCTCTCTTAAAACATCTCCAAAGCGTAACTGCGGTTGCCAATCCGCCTGCCAAGCATGGAAACTACTGTACAACTTAGAATGGCAAAAAGCTGACGGCCCACCTGATGGAAAGTGGTAACCGTCGCCTATAGACATGAGCAGTACCATGGACATAACAGAGTATACTGTTTCGCCCATGATACCCCTCATGCGTTGCCATTCCTGAGGACTCAGGTGTTATTCCTCTGTACCCAGTAAATTCACGCCATATCCCACCCTTCAAACCGAAACACAGCCATGCAAACACAACTGCTTCACGGTTGAAACACGAATGTCTGTCAAAACCCCCTAAGGGAAGCTTATGTTCGAAAAAAGAAAACAAATAGAAACTAAGTATTATTACGGACGGATGAACAAAGTCGCACCATTACAGTTCCTTTGTAACTTTTTCGTATAAAACCTTAAAAATACAACCGAATTGAACAAATCCATTTTATGAAAAAAAATTGTGTATTAAATTCATACTTTTATTACATAGATAAATGTATCTCTCTTGCTTGGGAAGAAATCTGTGATTATCGGCTACTCGACAATGAGATAGTGGTATGGTATACATGCATGTATGTTATATTTACATAGAAAACGTTCACATCAATACAAATATATCTAAATACATTTGTATTGAGCGGAGATCAAACTCATAACTTCGGTAGGTGAAGCAGTATGTTTATTTAATTGGTGACAATGGAGGTGTAATTTCGCCTGTGCCATCTATCGCTGATGGGGCATTAGTGGGAGATGATAGAAAGGAATGAAAGCAGGTCAATTAGCCCATCATGACGGATTCCATAAGAATTAACCACCATGACTTCCAGGGGAGACTACTTGGAGGTCGACCTGATAGGGTAAATTAGTGGTAATTGTTCTGTTAAACCCCACTACTAACAATTCTCTTCCCCCCGAAGCAGTATAGAAGGGATTGTTGGTAATGGTGTCTAATCTTCCCATTAACACTCATTAAAAAAACCACCCATCAAAGATCATCAATTTGTTCTCATTTATGGAAATCAAATACTGTGTGTTTATGTTTTTGTTTTAAATCAGAGATGTCAAGAAAGGAATAAGGTGAGGGATACATAACACACAGACGTCATAGTATGATCTAAAAAATCATGCTAAGCCTCATCTATATAATACGTATTCTAACAGAGAGCTGAATCATACTATATCTTTAAAAAAATAATTTTTAATTAAATTTAATCTAGCTCTGTAAGGATTAGTTATAATTATTAATAACGAATACCTAATTTCAAGGTTATTTGAGGTTTTACAGATTTTTTATCATTACATAATATATGCATAAATACTTTTATTTACTCATTAATTACGTTTTTACAACTGATTCTAGTATTTAATATAATTAACAATATTAAAAAGTATTATATACTATTATTATAATATTCAACATTTTATTATAATTTTTTATAATACTGCAAACGAATGCAAATTAGTTTATATTTTCATCCGACCACCGCGAAGCAAAACGAAGGGTTATGATATCAAGCAGATCTTCCGTATCTCCTCAGTAAGATGATTTATAATAGCTGCATGTTGTTATGGGTTTCTGAAACAAACAATTAAATTATAATTCCTTTTTTTATATGCCACTGAGGTGGCAAACAAGCATATGGCTCACCCAATGGTAAACGGTCACCGTAGCTTATGAACGCCTGCAATACCAAGGGCATAAGTACGAGTATTACTGAATAAACCTCTTTATCCCTTTGTCTCTTGGAAAAACCTCGACAAGGAGCTCATTCCATTCATGCAAGGAAACATCTCTGAATGATATCATCGTTCATCATTATCCTACCCTTATCTCAATTATTATTTGGGGTCGGCGTAATATGTTTTTTATCCATATTACAAAAAGATTTGGCTTTTAGTTTTACGCCCGGCCGCCTGCCTGACGTCAACCCTCTTTAGGATATTTATATATATTAATATTTACATATTATTAAAACCTGATAATAACTAGAGGTTAATTCTTTAACAAAAAACTTTTAAATAAATATTCATATTATAAATAATGTTAGAAGGATAATTAATCGTTGATCAGCATATTTACGAACTTATTTTTCCACTAGCTAATCCTACAAATCTCCAAATGAATTTAATAATATTATTAAGCATTTATATTCAAATAGCTAAATTGCTATCTGCAGTATACCTTTATCTGAATCGATTTTAAAATTTAATTTCTTAAAAAAAAATATGCTTATCTTCACACAATATTGATATTTTTTTATAAAAAAAATTAAAACAAGTTACTACTAAAGTATTATAATATTTCATCATTTTCGAAAAACAACAATGACATTTATACATGATATTTACGCCTTAAATTATTGCAACATGTATGTATTGTTTGATAAGAAGTACGTGATTTTACTCACGTCTTTCTTCACCGACGACCAGCAGAAAGTGCAAAGCGATCTATTCTTATTGTGAACATCATTTTTTTGCAGACACGGTTGCTCCATTTCACCTAAAATACGGATTTAATAAATATAATAAATAGTATAAAATTTATTAAAACAACACAAAAACACATTCTATTCAACAAGTAGTCAGTAGACAAAGTATAGACCAGGGGTGGCCAACTAGTCGATAACGTCTATTAGTCCAGCCGATCATGGCGAGGAAATAAATATAATATTTTGCTAATCTAGCGTAAGATGCTCAGACGCAATGCTCACACTAATATAAATAAGTAGTAGTAAGTAACTAATAATAATTTTTAGTTATATGTACTACTACTCTTAATAAAATAAAAATATTACAATACTACACAATTGTGTATTGAACTATATTGTTTTATTTGAGATTTCAAGATATATCTAGTTGGTAGATCGTGCGGGTTTAGTTAATAAACAGTAGAACTTGAATCTAGTCAAGTCGGTCGCCCCTAGTATAGAATTATCGATAGAATCGTTCCGATCAGCGCACATCACTATCTCACTGAACTTATAGTGCTCTCATTTTCGCTAGTGATAACGACTTTAACAATAGATTCGTTTTCGACTTTGTCTAGGAGGACAAGTAAAGTCCGATGATAGAGTTGTACCACACTGAACTAGTAACTTAATTTTTTTTATACAACTTAGAATGGCAAACAAGCTGACGGCCCATCTGATGGAAAGTGGTAACCGTTGCCTATAGACATGAGTAGAACCATAGACATAACAGAGTATACTGTTTCGCCCATGATACCCCCTATGCGTTGCCATTCCTGAGGACTCAGGTGTTATTCCTGTACCTTGTAAATTCACGCCATATCCCACCCTTCAAACCGAAATACAGCCATGCAAACACAACTGCTTTACGGTTGAAACACGAATGGAACAGAGGTACCGAAGCAAACGACTTTTGTACAAAGTCTCCCTCTGGTATTATTGCATCTCACAAATATTTATCACAACTATAAATTATTTTTTAAATCTTGAGCATCCTACCCCAATTACATGCTTTTTTGTTCTTTATTTTTTCCTAATACCCTATTCATACGCCTAGTAGATATTTTTAACTATTTCAATTGTGAAAATTTTTACATATTATATTTTCGTCTGACAAAAAGTCCATGCTTTACGACAACTTATGAATACATTTCATTTGTGATAAAATAATAATAATAAAAAAAAGTATAAAAGATTGAGTTAGAAATACAGTTTCAGACAAACAAATCGTGCAATTTCGTAAAACAAAACACACAGTTATTCAATCTTCCTGAGAAACCCAAACTTTTTTTTTTTTTTATCAAGTTCTACTAATGACCATTTCACCCTTCTTATTTATATAATTTATTATTAGGACTAATTAATGCAGTATTAATTAATGCAACGGATACGAAAAACCTATAGATTATAGATACACGTAAACGTGATAGTGAAATTGAATTATATTGTCACCTGTATAGAGTTGATTATCAAGATGAGTGATATAGCTGCCAGCCAGTCGCAATATCTCAATCTTACTCAGTTTCCTGTCGGGCGGCTCGGTTGGAATCAGCAGCCGTAGCGTATTAAACGCCATGTTCACACTGCTTGGAAATATAAAAAGTATTTTGATAACAATCCTATTTTTGAAGCATTAATTATTTTTTTAGAGATTTCCAAAAGATTTTATATTCATTTGAATTTTTAAAGAATCTTTTACGTAGGTGATTTTGTTTTATAAGACTTTAATCATAACAAAAATTAATACTGGACCTATATACCAAAAGTAAAGTCTATAAATTTTAAATATTAGTTTAAAAATAGCAAAGACTACAGAAAAAGCAAAGATCGCTGTAGGTTCTTTTTTCAAGTGTAAGAAAGAACATATCATTTTTATATTAAAGACATCCCTTCGTACATATACATCATCATCAGCACATCAGCTTTTAACCGTCTACTGCAGAACATAAGCCTCTCCCTTGGGGGGGATTGCCAGTAGTTACTAAGCTTAGCAGGCGTATTGACAACCGCACTTAGGCTTTAAATATGTTTTAAGAGGGACGCTGCTGCCCAACTGTTGCTTTCCTTAGTCGCCTCTTGCGACACCCACGGAAAAGGAAGTGGTGGCCTATTCTATGTCGGAACCACACGATCCACACACACATACACAAAGAAATACTGATAAACTGAGAACTTCTGCTATTTGAAAGTTCCTTAATCGATTCAATTAACTATTACAAATCCGATTTTATACTGCTGTTTTAAGACATGAATAGATGAAGGTGACATATCGAATTTTCAGATTTTCTCATTTCTATAATATAATTGAATGGAGATGTTAGGATGTTCATAGTAATATATAGTTAGAAGTTTGTCATGTTTTTTAAAAGAATGAATCGCGTTTAAGTCGGTAATGTCATACTGATTGAGTTAGAAATAATTATTATTTGTTATACATATGCTGTTTAAATTGACAACAGTTATTATAGAAATTTGCTATTATAAACAAGAATGGAGGCACCATCCATGCATAATAGCGTAAATCTGAAAATGCGACTATCACCTTTATCCATTCATATCCTCAATTGTATTTGTGAATGCTTAATACAAAATATAATATTTTATCGTAACTTTTCTTTTTACACATAATCCGCACAATGTGTAGTGTAGACACAACTAAAACTTCTATATACGAGCTCATCAAAAAAATTTATTTGTTTAATTAGTCCGCCTAGAGCATCGAACCCGAGATATAATTTAATCGAAACAAAGTACTACGTTACGGTGGTCGTTAAATACTTAATAGAACTACGTAAATATTAATTGACAAAATACAGTTAGAACTATACAATAAAAATAAATTAAGATAATTATGACTATATTCTCTAATGTGGGGCATTTGCCAACTATTGCCGTTATTGTAAAGATACTAAAAAGTAATAATTGACTTGTTTTCTTTTTACTATGATATACTTAACATTAGAACTCACTAGTTTATTATTATATTATTTATTATATTATAAATAGTTATAAAAATAAATATTATGAAAATATGTAATTATATTTTAATTTGTAATTAAAAAAGTTTAGAAGTGGGCGAGGTTTCCTCGCACCTTTTATATCCTGCCAAGATTAATTTACTAGTATAAATCGTTACAGTATTAGTTTATTTCGACACGGACAAGTGAAATGGTAGCTTAACTGATAAGAACTCCGAAGTCTGGGGCCAAACCCAGCATGTCATAGGAGGCGGGAGATCAAAATCGGTGCTCCTCAAATTTTTTTCCATCATACTGCTCATATTAATAAGGATATAAGGATAAGGTACAATTTTTAAGGAGAAGGCTAGTCACCTGAATTGGATAAATATTTGCAATGAATTATGTTGAAAAAATTAGAGGTGGACAACGTCAATACTAACTTTTGAGTCCTGTCTCGTTCGCGAGCGTTAGCTTGACACCTCTGCTTAGCCGCTGGCACAGTTTCCACGTTATTTTGCAATGCTGTTACAGTGAATACTTGTTGCTCCCATCTTTCTTCGTTGCACTGATAATGCAAAAAATCCATAATTATTCTTTAATAAATATATACAAACAATTTTACACAATTATCTTAATTTAGAGAAATAAATACAGCTTAAAAACATGACTGTAATATGTGAAAGCTAATCGTGTACTAATCCAGGGACGTATGAGGGGCCACTAATAAGTATCCCGATGAATATCGCTCATGAAGGAGTCATTTAGGAAGAACAGCGCGCGCCACTGACTCGGCTCTTAGCCGATAATTGTATAAACAGATGGCTCCGAAACGTACAGGGACGCACTTGGTTTGTAACTCAATTTATCTATGTGCACTCGTATGTGTCAATGAAGCACATCAAAAATATAAAATAATTTTAATTTTATTTATTAAATAAATAAATAAAATTTATATTTTATTATGAAATATTTATAAAACTGAAATGAACACAGATTTATTATGAGTATTAATAAAATAAATTGAAATTATAGATAATTCTCTTTATCAATGAAAATAGTGCTAATTAAAAAAAAACGTGTTAATATTATATTACAAAAAGTATTTATTTAATTTTTTTTTAGTACGTGCAAACAAGAAGGCATCCATCTGTCTAATTCAAGAGTTTCATATTTCCAAATGTATTTCCAAACATTTGATTTATATTTAAATTTCAGAAAATTATTTGTATTTTAATAGTTTGTTGTATGTATTTTATTTTTTTATATTTGTTTAAAATTATTTAGTTCTATATCAATTTGTATAGTAGAAAAGTATTGTCCCAAGAATCGGTCACAATCGCTACTCTGTGCAAACACAACCATGTTACATACGCAAGATAGCTAATTAAAATACGTGCCTGTTGTGGCGAATGGTTTAGTTGTCATCAAGAATGTAAAACTCTGTTTGCTCCCTGTGCTTTGTCTCTGTTAGTTTAAGCTGACTACCGCAATAAATATATTTAATGAGTATGATGATTTTTTAACCAATCAAACGATCTAAAGACATAAAAAAGTGGTTTGGAGAATAAAATATGCGTAATGTCCTTATTGATATCTAAAAATGCTTATATCTATAATTTTTAGTTTACGTAAAAATTTACATCGCTGAAAATATTATCACCATAGTTTTTATTTAAAAGACTGTATTTTTGTATTTTTATTCATTACAAAATAATTTCATTCAAATTACTTTAAAAAAGGACGACGTTCACAATTCGTTTCTTTTTTTTTGTTTTATTATTTGTTATCTCAGAACTCCGTCATTTATAAACCTAGAAAATTCTTTTTTTTATCTGATAGGATAACTTTCAGGTCACTCTATCAAAATTTGTTTAGTAGTTTTGTTTTTAAATCAAAACAACGGTTTTTTTAACAAAATTTTCTTGTCCTCTAGCAAATCTAAATAATAAAAAATTTACATAAAAATTCGTTCTTTTATCTAATAAAACTCTAAAAAAAATTTTAAGTGATGTATATTTTTATGTTTTATTTTTAATACCTTTCGTACTATTTTTAGATAATAGATAAATTTTCTTATATTGAAATTTTATTTTAGAACTATTTATAAAAAATTTACGAAGTACACAAAAAAAGTTGCATTATTAACTTTTAAACTTTCGTGTTGTATAATTTATAATTCATAAGAAACGGAAAATAACGCGATAATTTAGGTAAATTATCATAATTCACCTAAATTATCGAGTTAATTCTCCTTGCATATAAACTAGAAACGTTGTACATCGCAGTGAAAGGAAAAAAAAATTTTTTTAGTGCTCAGCACTAAAATAATTCAACATGTCTCCCTTTCATAATTTGCGCCTCACGACTCTCAGGGGATGTAAATCGTGGGAACACTGTCCAATTGGTTAATGAATACACGCTGCTAGCAAGTTACTCTCATTCGAATTAATTTGTAATGTTAACAAGCCCATTTATAAAAACAGCTCTGGTCGTAGAACATTCCGATCTGTATTGTGCAAATGTATCTTTTCTACTGACTTCAAAAAAAGTTTTCAATCGATTTTATTTTTTTGGTTGCTATCTCAAAACTCTTTTAGTACCTAAAAAAACATTTTTAGTACCTAAAAAAATATCTCATAAATCTGATAAGCGCGCAACGCAGTCCATGCTTACGACATCAGCGACATCTTTCCTTGCTGACCTTTGTATATCTTAAGTACTTATTTGTCATTTATTTTACTAAACTGTCCTTTAAACCGAATTTCTAAGCCGCTGATGGGATTCTAATCGTGTGGTTCCGGCATGGAATAGGCCATCCCATTTTCAGTAGGTGTCGTAAGAGTCAACTAAGGAGGGCGAGGGATGAACAGCAGCATCCCTCTTAAAAAAAACATCTCAAAAACCTAACTACGGTTGCCAATCCGCCTGCCAAGCGTGGCAATGATCAGCAGTGGACAGTTCAAGGCTGGTATGATGATGACGATGATGATGGGGTTCTTGGTTAATCAGCTTATTTGCATTCATAAATTAATAAAAAAGATATAAAAATACAATACTTTATTTACCTAGGCACCTTTAATGAACCATGTCCAAGCCATGACTCCATAGAAGCATATATTACGATGACCGGTGAAGTAATCGCAAGATGTTTCCGAGGTGGCTGTTAGTTTTGCGAGCGACGTCACGCCCCCTCCACAGCACGGCGGCACGGCCAACCGACGCGGGCGCACCACGGCCGAGACTTTCTCCTCGCGACACCTCAGCTGGAGAAACGGGCGCGGAGGTGAGTCGTACACGCAACTGCGCGCGCGTCGACCGCCTTCGACGCTGCCGCAATAACTTTATCATAACACTTCCGCAAACGAATTGCCGCTTTCGCTCCGTAAACAGTTCTTGTGCGAACGTACCGTGTTTTCAAACAACACCATCAAGCATATATCCAATCTGGACAATTAGCCGGCCGCGGCTTCCGTAGTGGCGTTCGCAAAATGCTGGTGTGATGTCTAATCGTAATTAAAGGTGAGTTCCGTTGCCTTTCTACTGGCCATGTTTCGATCCGTGATGATGACATTCCGTGATAAGCGGCGTCTCGCAGTGAATGCAAGGACGCGATCACATATTGACCAGCAAGTGTAGTGGACAATGCATGCCTATATGTCGACCGCTCATTCAATATATTATCTACCCCTATATATTTTATTAATCGATTGTACGTATATATTTATTATTATAATGAAATAACATTGAATTTCAACATTAATTTTGTGAACATGGAAATTTATTTGCCGCGATATCCGTGTGTACATTCACACAATGGGTTTTTTGCATAACAGTTAGGTAGGTACATTTAGATGAACAGTTACACACACGACCGGTTTTGTCTGGCCCGTCATACAAATCAGCTGATTTAATATAATACTTTTGTTACACATAGTAGAAATCCTTTAAGCAATAGACTGACAAAAATTGGATATATTTAAATTATTACTAGCTTTATATTCAAGTAAAAACTAAGCTAAGTATATGATAAACCAATCTTCAACTTAAATGGCCAAGATATTAAAAAAGAGAGGCATGATAACTAAAAATATTACACGCTATCTAGATTTATTAAAATATGAAAATTCAATCTAGAATATTTATAACCAAGCAAGTGAAAAAGTTGGTTTCTTAAATTGGTCCGACTAAGAATAGATCCTAAGAAACTAATCTAAACAAAGTAACATTCCAAACATGTCTACCATTGCGACACAGAAGTCGTTAAAGTTTATATGATAATCTAGTTATGTAAATATATTTGATTTATTATTATAACACCTTAATCTTAAATAATTGTAACACAACAGTGGTACCAAGGTGCTATTCACTTCTACAAGTATAAACAATAAATCTATCAGGTGGGTCTCCAGCTTGTTTGCCATTTTAACAATATCTGTTTTAAAATTTCTTGTCCCTTACAACGTTGATAAAAACACTTATCCTTTCATATCCAGCATACCTAATATATCGCCGTGTCGGTCCCGGCATAGAGTGAGCCACCCCCTTCCTTTCCCGTGGGTGTCGTAAAAGGCGACTAAGGGAGCCTTATGTTGGAGGGATAGGCAGCAGCGTCCCTCTTCAAATATCTATAAAAGCCTAACAGCGGTTGCCAACCAGCCTGTAAAGCGTGGCAACTACTGGCAAAACTCCCCTTATGGAGATAGTTTATGTTCAGCAGTGGACATTTAAGGGCTGAACTAATAATACCTGATATATTTAAATAGTTAAAAATAACGTAAAATACATAAGTCACTAGCGTCTTATCATCTTTAGTTTCACTTTATCGATTATTTAATAAAGTATATAAATATTAGCTTTTACCCACGATTTGTTCACTGACTGGGATAAAAACTTGTGTATAATCTTCTCCATCCCATATAACACGTACTCACCAATTTTTTTAAGTGACAAACAAACCAACTTCATTTCACATTTATAATATTAATAAGGATGATCACAACCAATTTCCAAGCTGGGGTAATCAAAGACATTAGTCACTATAGCTGCTATGGTACACGTAGTAGCTATGTTACACTCAATATGCCCGTATATAGTCCTTCCGTTTAATTTAATTTTCTAAACACATTGAGATTCATTATTTCAAATGTATACATACACTATAGTTATTTACGACTTCACCTATTGTAAACTTATTATCTTCCATTTTATTTATTTATTTATTTTTTTATTAAAGGAAAACCAAAAAAAATTTATAATAAAAAAAAAACATTAAAAACAAAAAGCCAATTACAGGTTTTCACAAATAAAAACAAGATTTAACTAATGCACATGACATCGCTAATACTTACAATCAACTAAATTAAACGTAGAATAACAACATTATGGTAGTTCTCGTGGAACTTTTGATAATTTTTTTCATACTAGACTCCTACTTCACAAAAGTATCGTTTTCAAAATTTCAAACCCAACAGTTTACACATCAATTAGATTAGTTAGTCACAATACATTTTTCTATAGGTATAGATTGTGAAGTTATCTTATACATATTAGTTATTCAATGTACGAGTAGGTAGCAACAGTAAGAACAAGTATAGAAGTAGTAGGTATAGTTTAAAAGGAAAACCGATGATTCATTCAGGATCTACATTGATATCCTGCCAATGACCTATGACAATACAACGTTGTGTCGTATGAATTCGTAAAACCAAAAGCGCAATGTTCATGTTACAAAAGATTATGGGAATTTTTATATGGTCATTATATCATTATATACGTATGTATTGGCAATCATTGAAATACCCTCTTTAATTTATTGAATTGGCTTCTCAAAGTGAGAAATCATGGTATGGTGTTTTAATTCGAATTTTACTACTTTTCGGTATATTATGCTTTGTTCTCTAGTCCTTTACGACATCTCGAGTATAAAAAGAAGCGAAGACTCGATGTATTATTATACTGCTACTAAATGAAGTTAAATGTATATATTTCTGTCTAATATTATAAATAAAACTGTATTTCGTAGTTGCCACCCATGTGTATCAATATATAAAGTACCCTATGAGCTAAGTTAGAATATAACCTACCCCTGTACAAAATTTCATTTGTATCTATTGAGTAGTTTTTGCGTGAAATAGTAACAAACATCTATTTATCGTTATAAACTATCGCATTTACAATATCAATAGAATAATAATTTGTTTAAAAAGCTCAGAATCACCTAACCAATGAGTTAATTATTTTTGCAATTTATCAAGGTTTTCAATCGGTGCCATTTGTCACTTGTGCGTAGGATCCGCTTAAGTACGTACCTACCCGTAGTTTATACGCGATCGTCCGATGAAGGCCGGTTTGTTTTGTTTCGATAAAGTTAACATTCTAAATATTCCAATTATATATTTTTAAAAAGAGCCTATATTCGAAGAAAATGTGTAGACAGAATTCAGTTTAAGGTTTATTATTTGTTAGCAAAAAATAACTTTAGTTTCTTAAATTATTCCTGTTGATCATTGAACCCAGGACCTTTTTTACATAAAACAATATGTTTACAACTCCGCCACGAATGTCATCAAATGAGAAATTAAAATAAATTGAACTTCTAAATTGTCATTTGATAAATTGATTGACAGTATCTACAAACAAACACAGTAAATAACATAAAAATATAATATGAACTTACATATATAATATTATATAATAAAAATGATAAATAAATAATATGAACATTTTTAGTAGCATAATAAAAAAAATATCTTATTTTCAACAGACTCAATTCCTCCCAAAAGTTCCCTCACATCTTAATATCATTCAATTTTAAATATCTAAAACCTTATTGTATCATTTGCAATGCCATTTCACGGAGCATGAAAAGCTGTTTAAGGTTACTACTGAAGAATTAGCATATTTATATTAGTTTAAATTCTGTGTAATTACTAGAATGTAATAACAATAATCCATTACATTATGAAAGGGGCACAGTACACATTTATTAGAGCATATAATATCATGGTAGTCACCATCGCGTGAGTGGCAGGCTGTAAAAGTTTGGAGTAAATTTTGTTATACTATCAAAATTCATTCTAAATATTATACATTGACAAAATTTGAAGCAAAATTAATTTATTATAATAATAATACAACTATTTTTATATAATGTCACAATTCGAACCTAATTCTAGCGTATCTGCGTATTCGTAAAATGAGCAGGTAGAAGTCATCTATCGTCTAATTCGCCTTAAGTATCACATTTAATTGGTCAATAAAGTTTAAATAAATAAATAATCTATGAATTAATATTACAAATTTCTTAAAAAAAATATACATAGTTAAATTTTGTCGCGCATATATTCGTTAACTACGACGCATTACCACAGTTACCTTGCATTCATTAACTTGTATATTTTTAGGCTCATAAAAATATTTATTGTGAAACCGTAAACAAGTAGAACGTAAATCGCGAACAAAACAAAATGATAAATAAATATGATTAATTATTAATGATTTAACGGTCTTAAAATAAATTACAATGTCGATTTATTCGCAATCTATATCTTTGCATCCGAAACTAAATGACCTTATAAGTAAACGTACTTACATAAACAACTAAATTGAGTAATACAAGTAGGTAAGTACTCGTATTATGAACAGAAATCGAGCGGTACACAAACAACCTAGCCATTACGATCCTGGGCAATAAATTTAACCTGCCTTCCCTTCATATTCTTGTCTGTTGAATTAGTTAAGTAAAGATTCGGAATTCTTAAAGTATTTTAAGCTGCTTCTAAAAGAAGGAGGTTTTCTGTTCATTAGAATTTTTTGTAACTATGTTACATGATTACGTTAGAAACTTTGAATTAAAATGTAGGGTATCTACTAAACAATTCTTGAAGTTTATTGGTATAAATGTGTTTACAGTTAAAATCATTATTGTACGGAACAATAAACATAGACAATAGGACATACTCGTAAATAAATAAAGTCCCACATTCTATACTTTAATTTTAATTTTCTTTTAATTTTAGAGTGAAGCCAACATTTAATTATATTTAATTTATTAAACAAGTTAAAATAACAAACAAGCTGATGGCCTACCTCAAAATGGTCACCGTCACCTATAGACCAAACAATTATTACATCACATTCATCACAACGACAGCATTTTTGGATAAGGATCTTGTGGTAAAGAGTACACGTAAAGACGAATAAGGCTTTAGTCGAGTCGATGATGCAGAAGATAATGTCTTGTGTGCACAATGACCGAAGTTTGTTAAGGCGACCTTGTGTGCAAATGGGTCAAATTCACGCGCTGGTTGCCCAAGCGTAATTATACATGACCGTCCATTATTTCATTTAAACATTGAAATTTTTATCGGATCCTGAGAAGTAGTTCATAATTGTAAACTCACCTTAACCAAACTCATTTTAACATTTTATATCTAATTATTATACTACTATTTTTACCCGCGACTTTATCCGGGATATATTGACCGGGATAAAAATATAGCCTATGTCTTTCTCTATTT